ATTGTGAGATAGAAAGATCGGATGAAATCTAACTCACCAGTAAATTGGTTGCGCTCTATCAGCCTGAGAACACAAATCAACAGAAAGTCAAATGCAGCAAAGTGTTTGATGCATCTCTCAAATGCAATCGCTAATGTCTTAAAGCAGGTCAGGAGCACCGTTTCAGGTTGATGACATAGATGACACCATCAAAAGAAATAACAAACACACAACACACACAAACACACGAGACGAAATCACCCAACCGCCCTCATAGGTGAAAGCATTGTTGATAAAGTGCAGGATGAGACACCTGACGGGTGGCAAGTCGCGTTGTGAAACCCCCAGAAAGCCATAACAGTGTCTGTTTCCCGAACCTTGAAAATGTCAAAATCTTAGACTGTTATTAAATGAAAAAACATTAAAAACATGTTGAGACATTTTAGAAAAAATCCCCACAATCCCCCTTGGTGTTTTGAACAAAATGGTTTGCTTGTTTAATTTCATCCCTGAACCCTGAAACCCTGAACTGAAAATACCCTACCCTAGACGCCCCCTATTAACTATTTTTCCCCCCCCCCCCCCCCAACCCCCCCGCTACTTTTTAGACTTTTTGCCCCCAATTGAATCATCTCTTTTTCCCTCATGATGGGGGGAGCTGCCGCCCCCCAAACCCCCCGCTACTTTTTTAGACTTTTTGCCCCTAATTGAATCATCACTTTCTTGATCATCATGGCAAAAATGACTGCCGCCCGCCCCAACCCCCCCGCTACTTTTTACTTCGATCATCATGGGGGGGGCTGCTGCCCCCCCCCCCCCCCCCAACCCCCCCTTGCTGCTTTTTAGATTAATTGCCCCTAATTGAATCATCATTTTTTTGATCACCATGGGGGGCTGCCGCCCCCCCCCCCCCCCCCCCCCCCCCAACCCCCCCACCCCCCCCTACTTCTTGGATTTTTGGCAGAGATTAAAATGCAATCATCATGGGGGGGGGCTGCCGCCCCCCGATACATTTTAGGTGGTTTACAGGGATTAGTTTGCCCGTAATTGAATCCTCGCTTCTATTATCATGACAGGGACCTGCCCCTCCTTTTAACATGCATACATAAATGCCTACCTACCTTGCCTCGATTTGCTGGTGATGCTGGGGATGTTGGCTGGACAAGCGGGGGATGTTGAAAACGATGCTGATGATGTTGACGGACTAGCGTAAAATGCCTACATTTCGCGAGAACATGCTGTAAATTACAGCATTTTCGTAGCCAGGACGCAAAACCAAAAAAATCAAAAAAGAAAACCAAAATTGAATCTTGACCCTTTTTAAATTCAGGGCGATTTTGGGGCACTTGGCATCCACGTGGTTTGCATGCTTGCATATGTGGCAGGAGACTTTCAACGGTAAGACATTTTTCCATTGCATGTGTCTATTGTGGCGAAAGCTGCGGTTGCGTTTGGGCGCAGGACATTTCGCAAATTGACCTTTGGGGAAAAGTATCCCGAACGCGACCCGAAACCATTTGAGCCAGAATCAAAATCCGGGTAAGTTAAGGTTTGGTAAGGGAGAATCCTAACCATAAATAGCTGCCCTCTTAATTCTTTACATGGTTCCTGGGTAGACTATTTTATTACCGGGTTTTGATTATGATTTATTTGATTTCTCGCTTCGATTCCGGGCATCACAACCGTTTTTGCCAAGAAGCATCCAACTCGGTATCGGTTACCCTTGGTGGTTTGGTTTTGGTGGTTTGGATTTGGATTTGAGCCCCCCTTTCTTGTTGAACAGCTCCAAACAACCAATCCCACCAATTTTGGGGAAGCGGAAATCCCAAGTTGATTCATCGTTGACTCCCTAGCCCTTCTTCCGTTTGCTCATTCCCACCCCAACCCGAAGCCTATGAATCTTGGTGCATTCCCAACCCTATGAAAACCATGCCATTTTTTAGGTTAACCCTATGAACACCCTGAGCCATTTTTTCTTTTTTTAGGATACCCCCCCGAACCCTATGAAAACCCTTCCCCTAAACAGGGGGATCCTGACAGACACTTCATGGCGAGGGAGGGGTGGGGGGGATCCCAAATAAGCCCTTCTTAAGCCCTTAAAAAGAGGCCATCATTGGCCAACTCTAACCCTGAGCCATTTTCTCGCTTTAAAAACATTAATATATATATATAAGGATACCCGAACCCTATGACAGCCCTTCTCCGGGCTTATCCTTAAAACAAAACCACCGATATGGGATCCATGGCTTCCTTTCCGAAAAAAAACCCTGAGGAGAACACGCGGCCATCCTCCGTGGCCTCAGGCCTTCTGGAGACCCGCGCGGCCGCTTGATTCGGGGAGTGGGGGGGGGGTCTGGAGGTGTTCTTTCCTTGACCAAATTGGGAGATGGCCAAAGGCAAAACCGCGCAGCTGAACTGTCCGTTTTCTGATCCCCTGCTCAAGTTCAACTTGTGGGTTAATTGGACACCCAGCCACTAAGCTCTAACAAAATGAAAAAGCTTAGTGGACGCCTGGGAACCGCCAAGATGATGCTATGACTTAAAACAGGGGTCCCGACCCCCGAAATGGTCGGGTTTCCTCAACGTTTTCCCTTTCAACCAACCCGAACAGGGCAATTAATGTCGACCCCATAGCAATCAACCCCAGCTTATTTATAGGGGGGTGTCCATTTCTGGCTCAAATGTGGTTAGAATCAGACCACTTTTGGAGGGGCCAAAAACCGACCCCCACAAAAACACAACAACCAGAAACCGCTGGTTGGTCTGTTTTTTGCTGTGTGATGTTTTTCAGCGGCCTTGGCAGCCACGAGATCCGCACCCCGACGGTTGGGATGAATTTCATGGGCTTTGGTGATGGGCCCGACCTCTTGTTCACCTCCAGCCTTGTGGAAACCGGCTGCTTCCCTTTGGAGGGGCTTTTGAACCCGGGGAAGGTCTGGTCCGAGGCTTCGCGGTGTGCGAGAGCGCCTCCCACGGCTTCCGTTGGCTTTGTTCGTTCGGTCAACGCAGGGAGAGAGCACTGGCACAGTCTTTCCAAGCTGCACTTCCCAGGTTTTGGAACAACCTTTGGGACAGTCAAACTGGCGCAAGCGTCGATTCCCTCAAAAAGCAATGCCTTGGCCACCAAAACATGCTGTTTTGAAATGGCATAAAGGGGATTTTGGGAACTGCTTGCACAAGGACATTGCAAACATTGGTCTTTGAAGGGTTTTCAGAAGGACCTTTTGGAAGCGATACAAAATGCAAGAGTGGCCCCTGCCCACAGCGCATCCAAGGATGGGATCGCCGAGCTCGAGGGCAAGACGCCACGCAAGGCGCGTCACCCAGTGACAGGGTCAATGTAAGGGTGACCTTCCCTGGATGTGTCCGAATCTTAATTAGAAACTCGGCAAACACCTGTCAGCGCGGCTGGAGTTCAACAAGAGCCGTGGTTGAATACAATGGGGAACTGGGGAGCCTCCGAAATAGCTGGTCTCCCTTTGGTTTCCCTTCAGGCACCCAGAAATGCCCTATCCAAAAGCAACCTGATCCTGCGAGCACTTTCGTGGCTACCTTTCTTTTCAGGATCCGTCACTTTGGCGCCTCGAGAATTTCGACCTGGAATGCTCTTGGCTGAAAGTTGAAAGGAGCGAATCGTTCCCAGACCTCATGTCTCGTTGTGCGCTTCCATAGAAGACAGTCTCAGGCTCCCGATTGGGCAAGATTTCTTGAGCCGTCAGTTTGCTCTAACCAAGCCAACCCAGAAACCCAACAACCCAACAACCCTTGGTTTCCAATCCAGGAAAGCATGTTGCAGTCATGTCGCCCCCAAACCCAACCCCTGGCTTGAAAACCTTATGGCCATCAACACCTCCCCGGGTACCCGGGCGGTTCCGCCGCGCCGCGGCTCGAGTACTCGAGGCGGAGGCGGCGCAGCCGACTCCTCGGAGTGTGCAGCTCCCGCAGATCGAGAAGCGCTGAAGCTTCGATGTACGCACCCGCACCCCCTTCGGAAAATGCCACGCATTTTTTTGACCTCTAACTGGGCATTGTCCCTCTCTTCGTTGTCTTTTTTCTTTTGTTTGGAGTTTGGGGGTGAGAGTTTCCTCTTAAACCACTACCAAGAAAAGGTGCCCCTTTTTCCCCTGGCGACTACGCAAGTGGGCGTATTTTTTTGAGGCTCGAGTGAAAACATGGGCAAGAACTGAAAAGATGCAGTGGACTCTTCAGCCCATCAACACGGAATCCCTGAACTCCGAAGAGTGATTCGGCTTTCGGAGACCCCACAGCTCAGCTGAGAAAAGCCTTCGTTTCGCCAGGTCGCTACATTTCCCCTTGGGCCCCTCGTTTTGGCTTCATCTTTTGGCAGCTCCAAGTTTGGCTTAGTGATTTCGCAGCGTATATATCCCGAAGCCGAGTGAGAAGCCACCGTGTAGAAATGGCGTTTGGAGCTGTGCAGATCTCAGATTTGATTGTGACGCCGTTCCGATGCCCAAGTCAATCCCTTGCGCAGCCGGGGGGTGGTTGTGGTTTTTACCCGGTTCGCCACGTGCGACCGGTGCGCCGAACATCCGGACGCGGATTTTCTCGTGGCAGAAGACTTGCTTTGCAAGTCCGCTTGCCAGAAGGGAGTTCTCGAGGCCTTTAAAAGGCCAAATAAAGGTCGAATGAACAGAGTTTGGCCATATTGACCTGACCGAAAATGGACCACTTGTGACAGCCACCTGATTTGAGAAGATGTGCTGCGTCAAGTGATTTGTTTCTTTGCCCACCAACGAAGAGACATTCGTGGAGCCTTGTAGCTCCCTCAGGTCAACTATTCTCCCCGCGCCCTTGGTTCAAGACCGGGCGAAAGCTCGACGGATCGAACTCGATGGACTGGCGCTGCCTCTGAACTCAGGATGCAGCTTGACCGCCCAGCCCAAGCCATCCGGTGGAAATAGGGATTTGGGCAACTCGTGAAGCGCACAGATGGAACGTTGGTTCGGAGCCGCGAGAATCCTGTTTGTCGCTTTTGTTTGGTTCATCCTTCATCAGTTCCCATGGAGCAGCCCTCCCCCACTCGTGCGCATGGAATTCGGCGCGAGTCGTGGACTTGCGTGGCATGTACAGAGACCGTCGATGATGCCACGTGCAAAGAGAGTGTGCTGCGGAATAAGGAGACGTCCGCAGTTCTGCGGGTTTATTCATCCTGGGTAATTACAAAGTGCCTGACATGATTTCTTCTCAGCACCTGTTCGTGGAGCAACCCTGGCTTGTCTTCCCACTGTATAAGATGATTCTGACAGTGGCTCATGCGAATAGACAAGTTGGTTCTGCTGG